TATATATATAAAACAACATTATGCAGATTTTGGTTAATAGTGAGAATAAAATGGATAAAAAATTGTATCATCATTCGTATTTAAGCTTTGGACCACCATGACGACACAGACTTAACCGTCGGAATCATCGTTGCAATTATCATCGGAGGAATTGTTGCCGTTGTTCTTCTTGCAGTTTGCATCGGTTGTATCTGCTACCACAGTGGCCACCGACCTCCTCGGACCACCACAACGGTTGTAGTACCTGCAGCATATGCGCTGCAGCCGCAATACCCACCAACCAGCTAAATATACCATGGTGTAGACTTGCCACAAGTCTCTAATTTATAAATTTTTCGTAATATGGAACGCCATTGGTGCCAAAATTCATTTATTTTTAAGCATTTACACTGATTAAGACATAGTCTACCCATGGTGCTGCTGCTGCTACCACCAACAACTGTATGCACCACCATCATTTTGAGTTTCAGCCACAACCGGTGAATTCTGTTTGTGGAAGCGGTTTGGCGCACGGAACGGTTTGGTTTCCCAACCTCGAGGTCATGGTTTTAATCCCTCGCTGTGCATTTTGCTTGTGTCTTTGAGCAAGGCACTTTATCTAAGTTGCTTCTCTACACCCAGGGGTATACATGGGTACCTGGTGGGGTTGCTTGCTCCTACGCCAAGATGGCAGCAACACTTAAGCATGTGGACCCAATGACCAGGGAACAACTTACAGCGCTTAGTAAAGAAAGTCGCTATGTAAAATTACGAGATTAGATTAGACTCACTTATTGGCATTTTATGCTTTGTTCACATTTGAGTATCTGAATGGAGCGTACCAGTACTCACCTTATTTCAAGATCTGGAAGAAGATTAGTCCTTCCATAAACTCCCTATCCCTATAAATGACGACCAATTGCCACAGATAAAAGTAGATTCAACAGAAATCCCAAAAAATGATGTTTGGATAGGAAGTATTGAATATTTTTAAATGATGTAGGGCCTAGCTACATATTTTTTTTGTTCCATGCGACATATAGACATGTATAATAAATGCCCATAATTTTGTATTCTTCTTTTCTAGAAATGATAATGTGAGAGTTCGTCAATTTATCTAATCACTCAATCAATGTCAGACAAATCACACAACTAACCATCAATCCAATCAATCAAACAACCAACTAATCATTCAATCAATCAATCAATGGATCATATTTAATGAGACTCGTTCACACTGCCACCGAAAATCAACAGAAGGCGCCCCGCGGCGTCGCGCCGTCTATCGCTCTCACATCATTGGTGCAGAGTTGAATTTGTCTTACGACCGTCGAACGACGCAGTGTGAGTGACCGGTTCAGTGGCGTATCTAGTGGGGGCGAGGGGTGGGGCACGCCCCTCCAAACTTACTCGCGTTCCTCTCGACTCCCCCAAAAAATCACGGTCAAGTAGTTAAAAAGCACCTAAAATCACCTTATTTTGTGAGTTAGCGCCCATCAACTGATCATCGAACCCTCCATCCCACTTCATTTTCGCGCCCCCATCAGCACCCCCATTTCAAGGCTTCCAGGTACACCACTGGGTCGGCTTAAACTACGGTAGTTATAACTCTATGATTGTAGAGTGAGTGTAGAGTTGAGATATCACGGTCGGTGTAATATTTTTATCTATTGATTTTGTTCATTTTGTTGGGTTTTTAATGGTCTTTTTAAAACAGGATAATTTCATCTTCTTTTCACCTTTGATTATCTAAATAATAATTGTTAGTTGTCAATAATATAGGAGGCCTATTTAAGTTCTCATAGCAATATAGTATTGGATTCTACAATGACGTAATTTTATAAAGCAATCCAATCAAAGTAGGCCTACTAAAGCGAATGGGTTAGTGTAGTTTAACAGAAGCATCACCAGTCATGAAGACATGGATCTTCTTGCTCATTAGTATTCTGATTCGCTGATTTAGCTCAGGCGCCCGCCTGTACAAATTTGGAAGCAATATATCGTAACACCATTCTTTCATGCCCCATAAGCATAAAGAACATGTTATGTTGGTTTTCCTTTTATCTCTCATTCAAAATATCGTAACTTTAACACTAACTGTACAAAATATTGGACGAGGAGTTACTACAAAAGCAAGACAAGGCAGAATTCTTATGCAAATTGGGTTAGTACAATACATAGCGGAATGTAGCAGGGTATGCAGTAGGTAAGTGGAACACACCAATAATCTGAGTCACTACTAACCCCAACAGTTAAGCCCCAAAATTAAGTCAAGCTGGTCCTCTGCCAAAACTCCCTTTTAACCGGTGCCACACATGCATTTATCTTAACTGACACACACTACTGTGATTATACTACTAAATAATTCTTTATTTTTAGAAGGCCTATTGTCGTTTTGTTTACAATTGAGACCGTGACTTAAGTTATTTCAAAAATTTTAGTTAAAGACGTAGCAACATTCAATATTATGCCTTTAGAACACAGCCCTGTAATATTAATTACTGGTCATTTGGCTTCACAAACATACGCTGATTATCAGAACACTGATATACTGACAGTCCAAAAGAGTACGTTGCCTATATTAAGATGTTGTAGTCCCGATACACTAAGTACTACCAGTGGCGGCGGCAGCGTGAGGACAGGAGGGCTTAAGCCACCCCTGTCAGACTAAGCCCTTTTCTCCGACTCCACCGGGATTTCGCTCTTGGACACCACCTGAAATTGTCAGACCCTCCTGTCAGACCACTTAGCTCATCACCTACCCTCGTCGGACAAATCCAGGCGCCGCCACTGTGTACTTCAATGTGATTTTATTGTAAAATCTATCTCTAAATAAATCTTTCTATGAAACAATAATTTCAAATTTGATTGTATTAATAATATATTACTATCACCGTCATCATCCAGTGGCGTATCTAGAAGTGCGCGGGACCCCCCCCCCCCCAAAAAATACTGCGCGCACCTCCCCAAAATCACGCTCAAGTAGTTAAAAAATCACTTGCAATCACCTTATTTTGCGAGCTAGTTCACCTAATCATCGAAGCCAACCCCATCTTCACCCTCGAAAGACTTCTGCATACGCCACTGTCATCATCAACATCGTTATCATCGTCGTCATTTATAACATTAAAAAATGTACTTTTTATGCACATCCAAGATAGAAACCTCCTCTTACAGGTTGGAGAAAATACACACGGTATACAAGTACACAAAATATATGGTACAAATTTACATTAAACTGTCTTATTAATCTTAAGCTTAAATGAGGATAAACTATCACAAAAAGATATACATTTAAACTTAAATTATTAAATGTAACTAACTATTATTATCATCATCCTAATCATAATCACCATCATTATATTTGTTATCATCATACTCGTTATAATCATGATTATAATTGTTTAATATCAATATCGCCTATATGTCTGTGTACATCCTGCTCGTGTTTGACGAATTTACCTGTTTAGGCCTACCGGTGGTACTTATTATTAAGTGTTAATGTTTTTCACCCTCGAGATACTGTAACGTATTATCCACATTCTCTGCTCTCTTGAACCAAGTACACAATATCGTTTGAACTCGTAGACTAAACTAATGTAAATTTCCACAATAACATGAGATGGGTCCAGTACATGTACATATATCTGCTTAAATCCCTGACACTGCGTGTCACCAGGGAACAGTTAACTGTTCTCTGGTGTCACCGAATATTGGAAATTCTACATTCATAGATAAATAATGTAAATTTTAATGCTGAATAACGTACTTTTCTAAAGAGAATTATCGCAGTTCTTCTGAGAATATCCGCCTGGCAGCGATAATTTGGTGTTACTGAAACAGTTATGGATAAAGAACCGCAACACACAAAGCATCAATTCCATAAAGATAATTGGAAAATGCAATGTAACATTATTCCAGGCCTACAAAAATTACCATAATTGGATATGTACTAAAACATTAAATTACCGGTAAACATTAAATTACCGGTATTTATTTTTAACAAAATCAATCACCATTACACACACGAATCGGACAATCGTCTTATGTTTTTATTAAATTCAATTGTCCCATTTAAAACAAAAATTAAACATCGCAGAGTTGATCCACGCTAACACGTAAGACCTTATACAATAACATTAGTGTAAATACTTCCGATAAAATCATCATACACTGTCACTTCACATTTAGAATAGTTCGTCTTCTTTTATAATCTCAGAAAAACAATCTTTAAATAAAAACGAGCATAATTAGGCCTCTATAAAACATTAAATAAAAAAGCGAAATAATGAAACATAGATTTAAACAATTACCACAAATCAATTTTCAGTTCTTTTATTTTAGACAATTAAAAAAAAACAAAAAAACAAGACAGTAAAGAACTCAGATAGAACAAACTGTGTACGATTAACGTGAACCCCTTTGAAATAGTTAATTAGGTGTACAGCGGATCTGTCCACCAAAAAATAAATTTGGAATAAGACGATTTGTCATTATTTTGTAGTTTAAGACTAAGAGGGATGGGGGTTATGTGCCAAGCAAGATTAGCTTTATTTACTGTTGTATTGAACTGATTGATAAAATAAAGAAATATGAATGAATGCATGTGATAGCGCGCTTTCATCTGGGAATGCAGGAAAAGAATAGCAGTATTTTAGCATTCAGCTTTATTATGACTGTATTTGTTATAATTTCTATGTTGTCTCTGACAGTAATATATTATAACAGTGAGCCCTCATTCCTGATGATGACATAATTAATGTCGAAATATTGAATCCCAACACGATGGCGTGTATTTCAATACTTGGAGTATGTATTATACTTTCTTATCTGAGATTAATCAGTGGACCTTTCGAGCCCTCATTGTTTTGTATGGTTGGCTAATCGGTGAGACTTTTTTCACACGGCCTCAACCAATGTGAGAACGTCCAAAATTAAATATTCTCATGAACTGAGCCCTCTATACTTCTGTTTTTGTATTTGATGCGATTAAACGTCATTTCTTCGGAAATCCTGTTTTTTCGTTTAAACTGCTTAAGAGGGGCGTGGATCACATTGATCTCTGTTTCACATATGTATATCGGCAGCGGCGAATCCACCGGGAGGGGGCCCGTCAGTCCCACCGAAAAATAAAAAAAGATGGAGAAAAAAATTGAGAAGAGGGAGGAAGGAGGGGAAAAGTAGCGTACCCATGAGTTGAGTGGCGGTAGAACTCGAATATTTTACCCCTCACTAATTTTGAATTTTCTATTGATTGACGACGAACACAACGCTATATCTCCGCCTCCGATTTTTTCCAACGATTTCATAAACCAGGATGTTAAAAAGGCCAAAAGACGCAGATCTAAGACGGGTTTTTTTTTTAGCCATTATTACGGATGTATTATAGTACCCAGCTAGGACAGCTATCCATGCTCAGTGGCGTAACGACTATGCTCTTGTGCGCGGTCCTCAGGCCCACCAATCCTGAGGCCCATGCGGTGCCCCTACCCAGGGTCCTTGCTCTATAGCACCCTGATTCAAAAAGCCTTTGTATCAACTTTGTTGATACATAATAGCATAATGTGCCTCTGACATCGACTGCATCGACTGTAGGGCATATATCATATTAATCCAGTGGGAACGGGGTGCCCAGCCGGCCAGGACACCCACATTATTTTGTCAAAATTATAACAAAAAATGGAGATAAAATATTCAAATTTTAAGTCTGAAATGAGTGCCATTTCCGGGCATCTAACGGCGCCACCATAATCATAATTTACTTTGCGACTCCTAGTATAGAATAGATTAGGCCTAGGTCCTTGATTAGACCTTTCCGACGCCCGTGCTGGGAGGGTGTCTTTATATGGAGGGCGAGCATGCGCCTGTCGTTAAGAAGTCATTTTCGAGGAGGAACGCTGCTTTGAAAAAGCATTATTACCATCAAAGAGGGCCATTTTCGAGCGTATAGAGGGGCATATTCTTAATTTGGTCACCTCAGCCCCAACCATGGTGGGGCTGAGGTGCGTGTGGACTACCTATTTCCACCCCCTCCTACTCCTATTAGAAATTTCTGGAACCGCCCCTGGTATCGAGTATTATGCCTACCCAGTAAGGCCTAGACTGTGAATTGCGTCCAATCGGATTCGAGTTTCCAAGTGGCCCAATTGGTAGAATGCGTCTGTATACGCAAAAGAAGATTCCGGGTTTGAATCCCGGTTGTGTCTATTGGTCACACTCGCAGACCCCTCTTCATGACCGTTTAAAATTTATATAAATGTTTTGTGAATTATTTGTTCTCATTCAACAGCGAACGACCCACATGCAGGGTTGGAATATGTTGGAGTAATGCTCTGCCAGTACAAGGTCAAATGTCGAATTGAGGTCGTAAGAATACATAATGGTTCTGATATGATTTGAACCAGGATTCTGGGATAGTAAGGCAAGTATCTTCATATATTTAACTTGGGTTTTCCCTGGTTTTGTTATATAGAAGAATATCGATTAAAATTGATAATGATAATATGTTTTACTGCGAACTCATGTAATCCATGCCATCAAGGTCAAATAGAGACGCAACTTTCGTTTTCTCTGTCAGGTATTATACAGCTATACATCAGCCTACTATATTGTATGGTAGCCTTAGGTCAGATATTCAGCGATTGCCTATCCGAACTCAAGTAAGCCTACGCATGCATTAGTCAGAAGTAGAGATACAGATCATTTTTCAATACAATTATATCAGGCTGACTTGTCTAAGTATAGAAGTACAAAGTATGCAAAAGGAAATTGTTATTTTGGTTAAGAGGCTGAACCTGTATCATTGCTAAGAAAGATGTGTAAATATAAGGGATAGGCTAAATAGGTTATTACTTAGGTGAGCGTGTTTATATTAATTACGCCTATTATATTGAGATCAGTGTGGACAACCAATTTAACAAACTGGTGTTCCGGGTTCAGAGAAAAAACAATTAATTTTTTTTTGAGGCAGATTGTAAATAGAACTCTATAGCCATTATACAATAGTGCTGTTATTGCTGTTGTTAGTTCATTGATGTCTTCCTCACCGCTTTTCTCTTGTCTTCTTTTTCTTTTATATTTGTATTTTTCATTCATAATTTCAAGTAACTATATCGCATTTTGTTTTTTATTGAATGGAGCAGTTCTATCACATAAGCCAGCTTTTATAAAAGTATACAATCATTAACATAGTAATTTTACTTTAAGCCTAATTGTATTTTGGTGAATTTTGGGAAAAATAAAGTTACCTACCTTAAAATGGAATAACCAGCGCAGTTGTAATTTCAAACGGAAAGAATAAATAAGGCTCTGGATTTAGCTTATAAGCGCTGCCTGAAAGCTTACAGAACTTATCCAGTTGTAATTTATACATTTATAGTTCTACTAAACTCAACAATGCAAGCGTTTACATTTTACGTAGGCCTATGCCTCACCCTAGGTAAGTATACGGAACTTTAATTTACTAATTTTTCAATTAGTAATGTTTGTGTGTGTATTTCCCCTGTTTAATTAATAGCAAGGGCTATGCATTTGAAGAAGGTGATGCCCTAATTTTTTTTTTTTTTTTTTTTTTTTTTGTGTGCAAATGTTCAAGATGAGGGCGTGTCACAATGATTTTTGCCAAATCTTAGACAGAAAGAATTGCGACATTGATTAAATTTATAAGCCATTCTGTGTCCAGAAGATGCACGTTCCTATGTATAATATCGTACAATAAATAGCGGCCTATATAGTTTAATTTAATTAACTTAGTTGTTGTTTGTTTAATTACTTCACTACTATGCTAGGGTGCAATTCCTTCTGATTTCTGCTGTTCCATTTCAGTCGAGAACTAGTGCTGTACATCAAAATGATTAAAAAGAATTGTCTCCAAATTGAATTTGAATTTACCACTATAATGATGATAATACTAATACTAATAACGATAAGGTAACAATAATGATAAAAACTAAGCACGTTTGTTGCTTAATGAAGACAAAGGAAATAAGAGAATAACTTTTTCATGAGTTTGTTAACTAAGGCTACAGATGAAAATTATTGCGCGGTGTCTAAGTTGAATTCACAAGAGACAATATTAAATAGCATTTCAATACCCACAATTTTTGCTATCGAGAGGGCTAAAGATTAACTTAATTAATAATTGTTAATGAAATGAGTTAGTTTTGCTCCTATATAAAAAATATGTACAGTATTATCAGTTATCAAAATGATTAAAACGAAATAACAAATAGAATTTCCAATTGCAAACAAAAACCAATTTCGTTTTTTTTTTCCCTTATCATCTGTGTCCTCATTTTATTCTGCCACTCTAATTTATATATGAAATCATCTTCCAGATAAAATTGATCTGTTGAGATTCTCAGTCTATATTAACCCCACCACTCCACCCCACCCCCCCTCTTTCACTCCATCGACTCTGGTGATTCGGCTAGAACACGTTTCTTTTTTTCTCAATGTGTTTTGATTTTTTTTTTTTTTTTGTGTGGGATTATTGGTCGCTTAAGATCTATTTTTAGGTCAAATAAATATGCGTCACGGGGATCAAATATGTACCGGTAATCAAATTTAGCAGATTACCCACAACACTGGCAGACGGCTCAAATTTGTTTTTATTACAGGCCTAATTTACGATCGCCACCACTAAGAGCATGATTGACACTAACTACGTATACAGATCTTCCTCTCACCAAAGACCCCCCCCCCCCCAACAATGAATGGCAATCTCCAATAAAAGACCACCTTCCTACAGCACTGATAAACAACTGTCTTAATCTGCCAGTAAATTTATTATATACTGAATATTATAAAGATAAGAAATAAACCCTTAAAATTGAAATTAAAACATTAAAGCATTGAATTGCTCATTTAAAATAATCAAATAAGATTTGCTTATTAACAAATTAATTATAGATAAAGAAATGTGCATTTTCAGAGTAAGAAGTCTTAAAATGCACGAACTAAACCTTGTCTTGATTTTATGCCGTAGTCATTTATACAACCGTAACAAGCGGAAGCCGCCTGAGGGTAATATGGGAAAATTCAAATTACTTATTATTTTCGAACTATAAAATACATAGGGGCCTAGCCAGTATTAATTTTAAAATTTTAGACTTTTTTTTTTAAACTTGGAAAGATTTATTGAACTTATTTGTTTAATTTACATTGTGTAATTTGTTTTCTCTTTTACTTTATATGTCTGTTTAAACATTATTTTTGCTGATATTTTGCCAGATACCAGTATGAAATAAATAATGGTCATTCGTGATTAACTAATCAACATTTTATATTCAATGGCCTGGTATTATCTCTTCATTACATATTATTTATACTATACAAGTTTTACCGTGTGTTATTATCCATTGTGCGAAACACGAAATTGGGCTATTGCAAAATAATAAAGCATTGCGAATCCCCCGTTACTATGTTCACACCATTCACACGCACACAGGGCCAAATTACGGAATATTTAAACATCCTGACTACTGTTGAACCGTTTACACGTTCAAACGCTGCGATCGATCGTGAACGAACATTCCCTAGCTTGCGTTTACACAGCATGCTTCAAAAGCACGAGACGACGCTGACGAAAGCCGCGGAAGTCATCCACTCTAAGCCTACAAAGTTTCTTTTTATTTAATATAGCTTTGTGAATGCCATTTCCCATTAATTATGTTTGTTTATATATATATATATATATATATATATATATATATGAGCCACTTTTAGGATAAACCAACACTCCCTGTTATCCCACTATTGTAGTCATTCATACGAAGTACATGTAGGCCTCTCACCAATAAAATAACGATGACAAATTTGCGGTGCTCACGTGACCCTAATAAAAGTAAAACCAAGAACACTAGAAACGGAAATAATCAATTTGCATTTTTTTATTAGAAGGTGTTAATAGGCCTATTAACATGCTTATAAATCGATAAAATTTCAATTTCGATTTTCAGTTTTATTCCAAAAAAAACCTCCAAAAGGAGAACATCAAAAATACAAAGAAAATACATAAGAAAAACAAACAAATATCGAATAAAAAACCACCCATCTACCAGATCAACCCAGAACAATTATTCATGAAATGGAATCCCACGCAGTACCAGTAAAATTTCAAAATAATGTAAAATAATACTGATACTGTCTGAGATTCTTTTAATATATTTTTTTTTACAAAAGAGTGAGTATTGCTTAACTTTTGCGAATGAAAACAAATTATAACTACAAGTTGACATGACTGTCAATTAAAGTACTCTTGTAGGTGGTATCACCATTGGCTTCGCAGTTAACTAAATGTGAGTAAAATCTTCTGGAAATTTTTACAAATTTGGAAAACAAGATCAAGTTCCAGCTCTCTTAACGTCATAAATATTGGGAATTTCAAGAGCAATTAATAAGTTGGTGGTTCTATGGTATTTAGGAAAACCGAGAGATGCTTTAATAAGTTGACTTTGAGCAGGGGAAAAATAATGTTTGCCAAAAATAACGCAATCGGATTTGGTTGAATTAAATCTCAGGCCATTCTTGGTGATGTACTCGTTGGCAAAATTAATTAACTTCTTTAGCCTTAGTATTGCTTATTATTAGCACATCATCAGCATAGCAGAAAACATTCAAAGATGTTTTACCAACTTTTACACCACATTCAAGATTCACATTATTTAAACCAGTGATCATATCTTTGTAAACTTTGAGACTTGAACGAATGCACGTTTTACATGCTGCCGTACTTTTTGGCTGTATACCATTTAAAGATCCTTGTGAAAACACGTCATAATTATAATAAATGTGGTTTCCATTAAATCGCTGTACGCTATCGACGATTGGCGATGCTGATTGGTCGGTCGAATTGGGGATTATTTCCGGTTGAGTCGGGGCAGTTTGATTGCAGCACAGACCCTATATACAGAGGGTCTGTGATTGCAGTAAAAACGCCGTAGCTACTATGCAGCACTTTAAACCAGAATTGTCATCAGGAACACACGCATTACAGCAAATCACAGATATAGATAGGTCTAGGTCTGAAAAATTTTCAAAATAGCGGTTTTCAATAGAATAGACATTAAAAATGTGAATAGACATTACAAATTGTAATGTCTAGGCCTATTCTATTCAACAAGTAAATGGCTTTACTTGTTGTAACCCCCTTTTAAACACTCCTTGTGTATATTTACACTATGCTTTAGTCTTTTTGCACCCAAATAATAAGTTAGTCAAATACATAGTTGTAAAATGTATAGCCACACGCATCATTGCGTTCACTAAATAAGTAAGATCGTGTTTTCTATGCCACTATATTCTTATTAAATTTATCTGTTTACAACAATTTAATATCAATGCTTTGTACACTTGAACGTTCTGCATGCTGCCGTACTTTTGGTTGTATCACATTTAGACATCCCTGTGATATATAATAGTCAACTTTGTTACATCGCATCAACTATTAAAGTCTCTATCTAATTCGTCTGTGCTTGATTATAAGTAATGATCTTCCCGTTTTGTGAATGGCTGGCATGCGACGCGTATCGCCATAGTAGGCATCACGTTTGCTGACCAAGTGTGATGTGCGTAAAGTTTCCGGCACTTCTTCAGCCAGGCGGCTTTAATTGAAAGTTGCCCTTATACTTATCTAATTAGGGGCATTACACCATTGACCTTAAAGTACAAGTATTATATAAAACCGAAAACTTTAAAAATAACCAGATAATCACAGACAGGTTTTATAAGATACATTATTTAATCACAAGTCATGGTGAAACCGTTTCATTAATGACAAAGCAAAAAAAATATATTAACATTAATTTATTATCTGACATTGCAATGAATAATTTTCCGCCTATCATGTTAGAACATGCGCTGAAATACTGTAGCAATCGTCTGATGGGGATTAGTTTTTGTTTAAAAATATTTATAAAACTGAGACATGCCATTGGCTGTTATATAGCGCGTAACCAAATTCATGGTCGTGCGCGCGACGAGGGGAACCTATCATGATATAACAGTGTTACTAAGGGTTACAGGCGCATGCCTAATGACTGCTTATTTTTTATTATGTCATTATATAGATCTGTTGTAATTAATTATCGTCTTAAGCTTGAATCTGAATTAAGAGAATGTTTTTAAATCATGTTTAAATATCCTCTAATGAAATAAAATCTGTATTGGTAATACAGTATCAATAAATGCTGAAGAATATTGAAGCATCAATATATATATATATATATATATATAGCTTGA